CCCCAAAACCCCAAAACCCCAAAACCCCAAAACCCCAAGAATTAATATTTTAATTGAAAATAAAATAAGGTAAGCACAGGATTTCTTGCGATTAGGGTTCGCAAGCCTTAGTACAATTCTGAAGGCCAGTGGCTTCAGGAAGGGCACAGGTTTTGTGGGAGGCCATAAAATGAGAGAGAAAATAGAATAGGAGGTTTTTAAACTTGAACATTTTCATTTGGTAAACTTAAAGAAGTTAATTTGGAGGTAGCCTAACTGTGAGAGCCAGTGAATCAGCTACTTTTTCATTTCGATCTGAATGATCTCATTCTTTATAATAAGCATACTCTATAGAGAATGTCTTCTTCCAGATCAAAGACTCTGAAGTATCGTGCAGGTATAACTTGTTTAGTATGCATTCCGACAAAAGAGAATGCGACCGAATTAAGAAAAACTTGCAGGCTAAAATCAATCTTAGTGGAAAGAGCACCTTCGCTACCAGAGAAACAAGAGTTAATGGATGACGAGGATCTAAAGAGGTATATTTGGAATAATTCATCCTCTCTAAGTTTTGAAGTCTTATTTCAGGCTTATCTAAAGTATTCGGGGCTTATATATTTCCTTGTTGATCAGAATGCCATAAATTAATTATCCAGTGAAATTCTTTCAGAAATTAGATATCATTTTAGGCGTCTCAGTCAAGATCCAAAATTCGAACATGTTACAATGGGAAAAGCTTAAATAAAATTCTTAATGAGAACTATGTTTCTAAAAGCCATCAGAAGCTTTCTAAAGTAAGCCTAGACAACACTTTAAGAGCTAAGTTTGGTATAGAACCTCAGAAGGCTCAAAAAGAATGTTTCAGGAGATATAGACCTTGATGAAACGGATGATGATACTATAAACTACACTGAGTAAGTCCTCATTGGTATAAATAAGCTAACTTTTAAGGAAAATGAAGAAAAGTATTTATCTTCCAACCCACGATATCTCACTGGATGAGTTTTGTAAACCCTTGTAAGCAAGCAAGTGATTATCTGTAGTAAAGATAAGTTTCAGAGGAATAAAGATGGCCCGTCAAAAAGTAAGCTTGAACTAACTTATTCTAGGCCAATATATCAGCAAATATATCATGAAGTCAATGTCTCTCAAGAACAGAATCACTAAGGATTCCTTCAGAGTTAAGACCATAAAGAGACCTTACTCCAAAGATGTGCAAAGTTTAGCAGTTGAACGAGTAAAAGGTAGGTTTGAACATAACTTTTAGACCGTAAGAGCAAACAAAATCTCGCTAGAATTTCTCGAGAAGTAAAGAAATAAATTTGAAAAACAATTCCAAGAGACTAGTAATGTCTTCAAGGATTACATCACTGAGAGTAGGAAGAGGAGTGAGCAAAGTAAGCTCAGGTTGTAGTTACTGTAGAAACCGAGCAAGGAACCAGAGGGAGATTTTTCATTTCAAACCTCACACCAGCTCCAAGGGTAAACCATACCCAATATGGACAGTTTAGGAATCTCAATTCTTATAATGATAGCTGTAAGCAAACTGATAATATTAACTAATACTTCTGTAGCTGCCTCACATGAGATGATGGGAGTTGGGATGAAAAGTAAGTCAACAGACTTAATACCTATAGGAATCAAGAAGCAATCAAACATATGTATGACCACAGAGAGCGATAATGAGCTCAACCCAAGAATACTTAGCCGAGAGAAGGACTCTAAAGGATATTATAGGAGTCAATCTAAAGAGAAAAATTTTGCAGTCACAAGTCTTAAAGAGTTAGCTACAAGCAAAGATCCAACTGCTAATTCTGCTCATTCCTTTAAGTATAGTGTTGTATCAGGGCTTGAAGAGTGTGATATTCCTGATACTCTTAGAAGAATGCAGGAGTATCTTAACAAGCATGAGACTAACCCCAAGCCTTCAGCAGTTATTGCATTCGTAAACCACCTAGTGGAGCTATGTGAAGAAACTAGATCGTTTGATCTGGAGTTCCACTCCAGAAAGATGCAAGGAGATATGTATGTGGAGCTGAGGAAAATTGATGAAGCTAAAGATATCTTTAAGAAGCTAATCTTCCTTGCAGACACACGTAATAAGTACAAAGAACTCATGGTGATATACCAGCAGATTGGGTACCTTGACAATGTCATGAGAAGATACGATGAAGCACTTATCTGGTTCAAGAAATTACTAGAGCTGGCTTGGTTTGAAAAGGACAACGAAGCTGAAACAACAGCTTATATCAATATGGCAATCTCATACTTCTTCATGGGTGATCTTGACAAAGCTAGTTATTATCATGATCGGATGATGGGAGGAAAATTAGAGAATGAAAAATAGCTCTCTTAAAGTTATGTCTTACAATGTCGTTAAGAATCGTAGGGAACTGAAAAATGATAAGAATTTCAGAAGAAAAGAGGTGAAGGTTTCTAAGCCTCAGAATCAAACTCTTCCTTCTCCAAGAGAGCATCATAAAACAAATAGCTTAGTGGACCCAACAATTAATCTCTTACCTCATTACTTTCTTGGGGAAGACATAGTATTTCAGGAAGCTTTGATGGATTACTCAAAGAAGAAGAATTATAGTCTATTTAAGAAGAAAAATAAGTTACTTCAAGTAATAGACACTCATCAGTACCTTGAAAAGAAGAAAAATAAGAGCCAAGGTAATTCTGAAAGTTTACGGATTCCTGAGATAGGACAGTTCTCTCGTCCTGAGTTACTATATCTTAACAGAAAGCCTAAGATGAATTATCTCCGTAAAGAGAAGCCTTTTGAGAAGAAAAATAAAATTCGAATGAATTTCTTCAAAGCACATAACCAGAGTCAAAGCATTCCCAGAAGAGATGAAAATATCTGAAAGAAGGATTTTGGCAAAGGATACTTCAAGAAGGTAATCCAAACTGCAAAGAACAGAAATGATATTACTGCTAAAAAGAGGGATTTTACGTACATGTCTCATATGAGTGAGACCAAGATGGACCCTATTTCTCATTACTCCCCTGAAGATCTTGTAGAGACGATGAAGAAGTCTTTAGGTGTCCTGCAATACAAATTTGATCAATATACTGGTGAATCATAGAACTTTGATACTCAAAATTGTCTGATTCAATTGTTGAAATCACAAAAGGGGTTTTGGGGTTTTGGGGTTTTGGGGTTTTGGGG